CATTCTTGTGCTACTTGAAAATCTCTGCAGATATGCAGTGCTTCAGCATAAAGAAAAAGGAGGGAGGAGTTAGCATTGTTGAAGTTAGGGGGCCTACAGAGCACTGTGGTTTTCTTCTCGTATGCTTCCCTTTGCTCAAGTTGTTACATCAAGGGCCAGCTTAAATGTAATGTGTTCACAATAAAAACCCAAACAAACCCGTATGTGCTGCCCCCAAACACACTGAAACAGCACACTGGTAAATGTCCATTTTGAAATGCTTTTCACAATACCGTGCAAATTACATAACTTGCAAGATGCATAATTTAGACTAGGTTTGCAGTGCTTTTAAAAGACATTAAGGCTACTCCTGTCAGGAAGTTCTTTCTATATTTCTTTCAAAAACGTTTCAAGAGATTGCCTGAAGGCTTTGTTAGTACAAGAAACTTTATCTGTCAAACTGCTTTAAACTGACAGATTGTTAACACAAATCCATTATATTCAAATCTTAAGTAATACAGTACACTGTCTAACAAATAATTATAATAAAAAGATAATACTTTTTTAGATAAAAGCCACACTCCAAGTGTTTTTAACTTCCTAAAGATATCGAGTAGTATTCAGTGAGATTCCCAGAAAGCCTCTAGTCCTGGAACCCAGCTCCAGAGCTATTAACAGGGAACAGAGGCATTTAAATATTCTCTGTGAAGTCTTAAAAACAGAGCTACAAAGAAAATCTGGAGAAGAACATGAGGTTGAGTCAAGGCTTCTGGGAAGTATTCTATGCTTCTTTCGTTCTGTTTAAACCAGTTGAAGAACACTTTTTCTGAATGTATTTAAAACTGTGTGCAACTAGCACCAGATGACTCTGATCATAACAAACTGTTTCTGCTAGGTGCAAATACTTGGCAAAGAGAAAGGATTTAAGTTAGTTTAGCAATAATTGTTTTATTGACTTTTGGCTAAAATATTAAGCTCTACTGCTTTATTGAATGACCTGTAAAAAAAACCACTGCAATACAGTCCAAACCTATATGCAGTTTCTATTTTGTGCATAAGTAACAAATATGGATGAATTTTAAAAAGTTATGCCATTTCCATGCTTCACCTGCTTGAAGCAAGACCAAAGCAATCCTTTGTTAAGGAAACTTTGCTTTCAAAGTTTCAAAAATTAGAATTTTACTGTTGATTTTTAGAGAGATTCTTAGACATGCATTGTTGATTTGCCAACACTTATCTCAGTAGTCCTAACTAGCAATCAAAATCATTGAAATTATGTAAAGATTTATGTAAAGATGGGCTTTCTAGACATATTTTAAATGATAAAATACAGTTATTGCCAAGTAATGAAGCATTGGTAAGTGTGAAATGTTGCTGGAGCCACAGCTGTGTTTCTCACAGGATGCTTTTGTTATATCACTTCACTCTGGTTCCATCACTGGCAACTCCAAATGTCTGTTTGAGTATTCCACAACTGCTGCTGCAATTCATCTGCAGTTCAGTCATAACTAAACTGTAAATCCCCAGCCCCTTTTCCTTCTGGACTGTCTATAAGACTTCCCAAATTGACACACATGATTAGACCTAGTGGTAAGGTAGGCAGGTTATGCCCCCTACAAGGTTTTTAGTGCTTAAAAAGCATTCAGTGTGCACAGCCTATGCAGCAGATATGTGTTCATGTTACTTTTGCCATTAATGTTAATTTGACCAATTCACTGTTCCTTCTGTCTCCTCTCCCATAGTTGAAGCTTTCCTATCAAGGCTTCCTTTAAATTATATTAAAAACAGCTTAGGAGGTAAAGGTTGTCTCCCTTTAGCTTTTACAGATTCTAGTCCTTTGCACAGCTGAAGAGGGAATAGCTGACACAAGGGAGACTGGAAGAATATCCTGCCAAGTAAACCTCCTATGCAGGACAGAACTAGGCATGCATAAAAAACAAAATGCTGTACTCCAGGGCTACTCATTTTCCTCTTTTACTGAGAGCAATGTGGCAGTAGTTGTGTCTGTCCTCCTTGAAGGAGTGTTGTGTGTTATGTACCTGGTTGCTAAGCTGATCCAAGCAAACAGCACTGGAGAGAGGATAAGAAGGTATTGATGGTACTGTGGAGGTGTTAGATGTTGGGCAGGGTTGATTCTGTGTTCTTTTAAGTCCTGCCTTCAGAGGAAAGGATTTTTTATCCACTAGAGCACTTGTCTAGAAGCCTTTAAATTCCCATTGCAAGAGCTGTTTAGTCCCTCTGCATTGTATGTTTAGTATAGATTATAAAGTGGAGAGGCAGGGCAAGAGAAAAGGTACAGATACAGGCAAGGAAAAGAGGGAGGAATTTCGAAAGGTTCTTTGCTTCTGCAATTATTTGTTACAGACAAAAAATCTTGTGGATGAGTTTTTCTAAGTGGCTGTAGAGGTTTGACAGATATCACCTAGAAGAGGAGACTGAATGCTGTAATAGCTGATCTAAATGAAATACCATCTCCCTTCTGTGAAATTTCCCTGCAGACTGAAGGATTACTCTTCTGTTGGAAGAGTTGTTGATCTTTTTAGGTTTTTTTACAGTTTTGTTTAATATGGCCATCTTGCACAAAACTGGGACATCAGTCCTGCTGGGTTTGTGGGAGCCACATTTATGCTTAAAGGGAAGAATAACTGCTTGCTGTTCCCAGTTTCAGCAAAAGCCTTGAAGGTTGTAATTCAACTAATTCAAATTTTTAAATATTTATATTGAATTGGGCTTGTTTTCAGCTTGGCACCTGTCTTTGCAGATACTTGAAAACTCTTTCTAAAAATATTATAGGGATGTTTTCAGGGCTGGTGAATTGGCTTAGTCTGATGGGTGGACACTGGCCAGTTGACTTGCAACAGAGCTGGCTTTTAGTACTGCTGCTGTCACTGGCATGTTTCGTGGCTCTGGACAGTAATTTCATGACTCTGTGACTCCATTTTCTTGCCTCTAAAACAGGGGTGGTTATTTTTATTTCCTTTGTGAAATGCTTTGAGATTTGCTCTATACCACAGCAAACGTTGCTAGTAGTACTCATATATATTGCTTTTTTAAAGCCATAGGAAAATATCTGTGATTCTAATTTAGTCCCTGCAGTCAGTGGGGGTCCCTAAAATAATTCAGAATTAAGAGCTGGGAGAGAGTGGCTGTTGTCCAGACATGCCCACACTCCAGAGATGCAACTGCAGTTCCCACAGGTATGTCCAAGCTCGCTCTGAGCTCTGGCACTGCTAGCAGGGTATCCTGGGTGGTGTGGAGCTCAGCATGTGCTGCTGGAAGCACCCAAGGAGCTCGGTGGATGGATGCTGGGGTGATGAGCCCATGCTGAGCTCCATCCTGCAGCACTGACACCATTGGAGCATCTCCCCCTGTTAATTTAAAGCTAGCTCAAGTATGTCTGCACAAGCTGTGGTTGGGCTGTGACTGCAGCATTAAAATGCACCCTACAGGAGACCACAGGCAGCCAGAGCTTCCGAGAAAGTGTCTTAGTTACACTTGCAATCAAGCACAGGCTGCTGGCATAATTTCAAATTCACCTTACCTTTGGCTCATCATTCTTCATACTCTGCAAATATAGCTCAGCTCTCAAAGGAAGGGGCTTGTTTATCATCTTCACCTATCATGAATGGTGTTCTAGACTAGATAATGCTTTTAAGAAAAAATAATTTAAATGCCTCAGTTTTCATTTTAGTTGCTATTTTATCCATACATAACTCTGATCTATCTTCTTTCCCATTCAAAATGTGGAGGAAGCTTTAACATGATGACAGTTATGCTGAGAAGAAGGCACTGTCACTGTTTAGAGAGAGAGAGAGAGAGAAATCAAGGCAGAGAAAAATTTATCTGCTGTGGAAGGCAAGGTGGGAGAAGGAATTGGTTCTATTTATTTATTTTTCCCAAGAGGAACCAGTAGTGTTGGGATCACATGGACTATATCAGTAACTAACAAACTAACAAACAATTACATCCTAATCCTTTTTTTGCCAGGTCCCCTGTTTTTGTACACCTCATGCCAATGTTTATAAGAGAAGTCATAAGCACACTTTAAAATGACACAGCAAATTAATAATAAAATAATAATTCAGTATTGTATGGAATGAGCTTCCTCCTAGGGTGTATCAGATAAATAAAACATGGATTAGAAGTGTCTCTGAATGATGGTATTGTAGGAAAGGCATCTCAAAAAATCAAAGAGTAATGATCACATCATTTTCTGGTTTATAGTCTTCTTTAATATATTTACAATATTTGGCTCCAAATCTAATTGCTTATGGGTTAGGTATACATTGAAAGGATCTGGCTTTAAGTCTCATTAGCTGTGCTAAGTATCAATTCATTTGGCAAAATAATCTCGCAGAAAACAATTTGTGCCAGTTCAATGCTCTTTGATGGCTGATTTCTCAAAGATCTATTCTGAGTATAGAAAGGAGCCACATGATTCATTCAGCTTGTGCATATCTATTTTATCTCTATAGAAGGATTATATATGGAGAGATAAAGGTTTGTTAAACAAAGTATCATTAATCACCCTGTCCGGAAATGTAGACTTTGCAGGAGCACGCTGTAATTTGCATCACTTTTGCTGTGCCTTGTCACTGCTGCTGGAGAGAAATAACAAACCTGTATTTATGAAAAGGACAGGTTTAAGATGAAAATAATTCTATCCGAAAACTGTGAGAATGGTAAAGAATTCTGTCGCCTGCACTCGATCAACGGGAGAACACTGTATTTGTAATAAATTCCTTTTGCTCTGGATGAGTTCTGCATTTTCAATGAGGTTAACTTGGCAACATTCTAGTTGATTTTAATAAAAATAGCTGCTTTGAGGACAGGGAGCTGAGGTTGCCAAATTTACAACTGCCTTGCACAATTACTCTTACACCTCCTTCAGGGCTACTTAGAACCAGTAAGCAAATTAAGTGTATCGATTGCAATTTTGTTGGACTAACCCTTTTTTCTTAAGGAATAAACTTGATTCCTTTCAGTATGTGTCTGCTCAGAGTGATCTCTTTTCTTTTCAGCCATAACACAAAGACAACATCATGGCTGGATCCACGACTTGCGAAAAAGGCTAAACCTCCAGAAGAGTGCAAAGAAAATGGTAGGTGATTAAGTTTTCCTTGCTGCTCAGAGGGGATTTTCCTTTGTGTGTGTGTGTGTCTCTTTCAGTTCTTACAAAAATCAGGCGTTTGGGGGAATGATGAAAGGTGTTTAATTGCTGCTTTGGTTAGAAGCCATAAGTGATACCAGTTCTCAGTGTGCCATGTGTTTCTGCTTTTTATTCCCCTTTCTGATGCTATCCAAAGCTGAGGATCACAAGTGTGTTTTCTGCCTGTTGTGTGTGTGACTCCGGGACTGACCCTCTCCCTCATCTCCTACAGAGAACTTTGGTCTGCAGAACAGAATCCTTTTCAGATTCTGAGCTTTTAATCTACAGGCGATTCAATGCATAAGGGAAACTAGCAGCACCGTGGGAATATGAATATTGTTTGATTTGTATTTAAAGGTACAGTGCTATGCTATTTAGTAGCCAATTTAAACAAAATAGTGTCTGATAAAACAGGGTGTGGGAGGGAGAAAAGAGATCAGCGTCTGTCAGAGTTCAAGGCTGGATTTGGGGGGTACTACAATGCTAATGCTTTAAAATTTAAAAGCATACATACTGCTGAGGATGATTAAAGGAGCTGGAGCTGTTGTGCAGGAGAGATTATTATATTGACAGATTCAGAGATTTAAAATCATATCTGTAATTCCTAATTTTTCTCTGGTAAAGTTTATCAATATTTAAAATCATTTAATAAAGTCAAGGCAAGAGTGTTTTGTAATGGATCTGTTTCTGATAAGGGTTTTTTTCATTGTTTTATACTTCCATGTCAATTCTATTAGTCAGTTAAGATGTATGATTTCTAAAGCCTGCTACTTTTTTTATTGTTGTGAGATACAGAGCATTAAAGGCATGCATGCTACGTGCATTGATTCAAAGCATTTTTAAATATTTTAAATGTATTCATAAGTTTTCATGTACTGCATCTGATTTATTTTAAATTTTCCAAAATGCATTCATTTGGTTAACATAAATACTATTAACAGAAAGGAAACTCAAGGCTGATTAAGAGGTCACTGAGGAGTCGCTGGCTGTATGAATTGCAGGGTCAGTGTTTTGCTGAAAAATGTTTCTGGGTTGGATTTTTTTGTAAATGGCTTTCTTTTGAAAGATTGCTACACTCCAAAAATAGCTTCCTTATTTCAGCAGCAATTCTGACGTTCTCTTCTGACATCAGAAATTACATGTCTGAATGATTTTGTGGTGCTTATTCTAGCACGGACTACACAAGCTCCCAGACTAAATTCTACAGTGATTACAATAGAGGTCTGATACTGAAACAAAACAAGGGCACAGGAGCTTTTCTTTCCGAATTTCTCACATTATTTATATGAACCTATATCTTAACCTGCTCCTTAGATAATACTAATGGAAAAAGCAGGAAAAAAAAATCCACCGGTATCTGTGGAGTAACATTGCACAGAGTTACTTGATTTTTTTTTTTCTTTTTCTGTTAACTGTTGTATACTGGGATCAGAACAGTACTGAGATATTTAAAAAATGCCTAAGTATCTGAAACAATTTAAAGTGAAGATCAGTGCATTAAAGAAAAAGCATTATTTTATAGTTATTTGACTACTGGAATACTGAATCACTGTAGTATGCTGGGTCATGTTGTTCTTTTAAGGTTGCTCAGCTCATTAATGCAAAGTACTTGAAGTGATGCATAAAAGACTTTAGGGAGAGATTTTCTATTCTTACAGTGATTGTTCTTCCAACATCCTCTCTTTTCTAAGGTTCTTCTGTTTTTCAAAAGTGTCATTTGTCTTTTTTTTTTTTTTAATCCAATACCTGCAGAGAAAAAAGTTCTTCAAAATCACTTATATGCCTTAAAATGACTGTACCTTGCCATGGAGGTCCAACACAAGGAACTTTCCTATAGCTTAAAGGGATTTGGAATTTTTGTTTAAATTTAATCTACCTTTAAGAATTCATTTCAGCTATGGCTTGGTAGATTTTTTTATGCCAAGCATCTTTTCTGTTACACTTTATGATTTATTCTGGCATATTTTACTCAGAGATACAAAATTTTAGAAAGACACCAGTGTTTAGATAAGAAATGATACTTACCATGATGCCTTATATGTGCATGCATAACTCTTGCTTTTCATTGACATTCATTTTGTCACATCTGAAACTTCTATTGATTCTCTGAGATACATTATGATGTCTTTATCGTCTACCAGATTCTGCTATGAGGTTGTCATTGTGAATAACCCAACTTTTGTGCTCTCCTTTCAATGCAAATCCTGCCAAATCCTCCTCCTTCATTCTGCCTCCAGCACGCAGTTCCCACACCAGACAATGTCCAGGCAGAGTAGGAGATCAGAGTCCTGATGTTCTGGGCTGGTGACACTGAGGGCCCCCTCTGCTCCAGGCATTTCCTCTCTCCCACTTTCTGCTCTTTAATACTCCTTTGACAAATACGATTTCTTCATTATCCCTGGCTTCTGTAGCTGCAAATCCCAGAGCTTGCTCATTTCCTTTCGCAAAATCTGTATCAACCTTCCAGCACATCCCTCCTCTTGCGAAAATTTCACATCGTTTTGCCAAAAGATTGACAAGCTCTACCAAGCCAAGCTTTCTTCACCTGCATGCTGTGGACTCTTTCTGGTTTTCTTTAATGACACCTACTGCTCTAAATCCTTTTGTAGATCAGGAGATTTTAAGTGCTGATCTTTATTTCTGTCTCTCTGTCTCTCTGTCTCTCTGTCGTGGAGCTCCTGTGTGAGCAAATTACTTTGACTTTTGCTCTGTCAGACCTTCTTAGATGGCAGGACTTTGAAGCAAGAACTGCCTCTTACTCTCTGTTTTTATGGTGCCAATCTGAGTTTCATAATAGCAATAAGTAAAAATAGCTGGCAGTTCTACAATAATAGCAGCAATTTTTTACACATTGCTGATTTCCTCTATAAAATCTTGACCTTAATAGAAATAATTGTGTTTTCCCTGCTGAAAAATAAATGAAATATTTTAGTTTTCTGAATTTAAATACTGCTTTAAATGATCTTTTTTTCACATCAAACTTGGTCAAACAATTATTATGTGTAGAGTACTAGAAAAGTTATTGTTCTTCCACCTTTACATCTGTGAGCTAGATTCCCTCATTGTTAAATTTCCTGTAAAGTCGTATAACATATAACAGCAGATTCACAGGCTTTGTATGATTACAGGTATATTATGTGAGTGGTCTTCAAACTGAGTCTGTTCCTCAGGAGATAATATGGAAAAGAATGATAAGTCCCATAAGGCAGTAAGAAATGTTGTTTAATATTGAAAGACAACTCAGCTGTAATGACATGAAATACCACTGGTTTTAGAAAGTTCATTTTTCATTAAGAAATGTAGCATTTTTTTTTCAAATTCTTTAATTCATGTTAGGGATCTTTTATTCTGGAGAAAAATCAACAATTTCTTCTGTATCCAATTAGAGGATTAAACAGCTCCTCAAATTTCCTAGGATCAGATATGTCGTTTCACTTATTTCCTCTACACAAATTTCACTAATTTCATTACTAATCCACCCAACCCATAGTCTCTATCACTCTTAACTGTCTCTTTCTTTTTATGGCAACCTCCTTTCTCCTTTCCCCTAGTTTTCAAACACAAGAAAGCCTACAACTATAAATAAAACTTTGATTTGACCTAGCATTCATCCATCATCTGTCTTTCCGGCTCCTCCACACCCACCGACTTGTCTGCAAATTATAGATGTTTATGTAGGGTGAGCTGAGTTGCCTTTATACTTCACTGACTGCAGATGTAAGCTCTACTTTGGCACTTAGGGGACACAGACACCTGGCTCACCTGTGAAAACACCTGTTTGCAGACAGACAGCTGCATTTCTGTGTTGGACTGAACCACACCCCACCCCATTTTGCTGGGTTCAGTATTCCCCATTCCTGCAGTCACAGGCTTTGATGCTCTCACTGCCCAACACAAATCCAGAATTTGTCATTGGTTACCTGATTCCTTACTATGCTGCAGTAGGATGTACCAACCTTGCTTATTTTTGTTTTATAGATGCATTTGGGCATAGGTATGCTGGGGTTTTATGAGTAAAGCATTACTTCTTGATTCCATTGTACCTATTTCTCACTGGAAGCCATGTAGCAAACTTTTATCTTATATGGATACTGTTTGTGTTTTCTGATGCCTGCTAATGGCAACTTGTAGAGGGTAAATGCTTTCCTACAAATAGTTTTTTATTTGATTGTTTTTACTTAGAACTCCCTTTTTCAGACTATTAACCCCATTTTAAGTATTATTTAATCAGCTTTGTAATGGAGCTGGCATTGTTTGTAATAATATTGATCACAATGATTTTTTTTTCTGTCATTTTTTGACATATTGAACATGGTTTTCCAGCTTGCATTTTCAATTTTGGGTTAATTAAACCACAGCAAAATATCTTGAACTGTTATGACCTTTGGAAGGACATTTCATGCTGGCAACACCATCTGGGCATTTACTGACCAAAACACTCTTCCATGCCAAACTCACAATAATGATAATAAAAATAAGAAAAGGGTCACCTCATTAAATTTTCTTTCTGGGAGTTTAGAAGACACTTCTCTGGACAACCTGGTTGAGTGACACAGCTTATAACTCTTCATCCTTGGATTAGTTTTAAGGTGAAATAGCTGTCCACATGTACACACCTGGGCAATATTCTGGTATCTCCCTGGGGGAGGTCTTGCATACAGTGAAGCTTTCTTGGGGGACACTTACCAGTGTAAGGGATAAGTCCTTTAAGCTGTAATGGACTACTAATTATTATTTTGCCTTCAGAACCGTTACAGTTTCTCACTGTCACAGCCATAGAAATCCCTGTAGAGTGCTAACACTAATCATAAATAGAGTTGGTAATTGCAAGGACAAGAAGGAGTAAAAGTAGAGAAAAAATTTCTATTTCCCTTGATTATTTACCAAGCACTTGGCTCTCTTGGACTCACTGCTCCCCCTGCTCACCCACATAATGCATTTAAATGGGGAGA